AAACAGGAAGGCAGCTAAGTATTCAGACTGACTTAAAAAAAATTAAAAAATTAAGAAACTGGATAAAATTTGAAACGGACAAGGGAAGGACAGTGAGGACAGTAAGTTAAAAATGGTTTTGTCTTTATTTTTCTTTTACTTGGTGAAAGTGGGACATGCCTTGCCATTATTTTCTCTGAGTACTATTCTGAGTTGTGCCATTTAATTCTTTCTGTGGTTCCAGAGCTCTATCAGCCAGCAACCTACCAGGTATCAGAAGATGGCTCATTTGAAATTGTGGATGAGAAGAGTGCAGATAAGGTAAAAAGTATGTAAAGAACACAATCAATACAGTAAAGATAGTTTGGGGCACTGTTGAGCCCTCAAACTGAGCATATTTAGAAATCCTTCGTTACTGGAAAGAGAACGCCCAGATACTTCACTTCTATTTTACTATTTGCAAAGGATATCCAGCTTCCAGAAAAGATTTTTACTACGCACCTGAAACCATTGATATCATAAACTGTCTTCCTTGCATGGAACTTAAGTAGATCCAGTAAAGGACTTTTAAATGGATCAACAATAAAGGAATTGATTTCATTAAGACTGAAATGGACTCCTCTGCATTCCCTTTCTTTTGGCCCTCTAATCAGGGCTAGATTTTGCTGTACAGCAGTATCATCCAGTGCAATAAAACATATCTGTCTCAATGAATAAATTGTGTTTTCTTAGTAGTAGCAATATTTATTTGATTGAAACATATAGATATGGAGGCACTTTACAAAAACTCCTTTTTGTATCTAATTGCTCCCCTTTTGCCTCTGCGATGTGTGACTATTGCTACAGCTGGACTTGAGCTGGGGCTTTTTCTCTGTTTCCAGAGTGGTGCTTATGGAATCTCATGGGAGCATTCCTGTAATGCAGTAAGATGGAGTGCTGAGGTTTATAACTCTGTAGGGCACAGAAGAAATGAATGCAGGCAAGAGGGATTTCCCAGCAGGAAAGAGGGTCTTAGCTGCTGGGAATAAACTAAGACCAGAGAGCTTTAGAAGAAGAAAGGAATTTCTAAGAAGAGTGGTGCAGATAACATAATCAAGTACTGAATGTAGGAGGAAGAAGTGACTTAAGGGGCTGGAGGTGTTTTGAAAGTATGCCATGAGCCTGAAATTTCATGACTGATATTTATCACCTTTTCCCTAATCAAAAATGCTTTACTGAAGGAGGCAAATTTTTGCATCCTTGACCTATTCCCAGTTGAATGTGGAAAGCTGTGTAGCTGTACGTGTTTTGCTAGGCAAAATACATGTTTTGTAACCCGGTAAGTTTGGTTATCAGTTGTTTTTCTGGAAGTTTGCTGGAATTTTTTGCCAAGGTCAGTACCATATACATACTCTTTTGCTTTTAGGTGCCCTGGATCCCCCTGGACCCCTTGAAACCGAATCTGGAACGATATCCAGAGTATGCTCAGGCAAAACCCTTGCAGTGTACAGTGAAAGCTGGTGAGATGTTATACCTCCCTTCCCTCTGGTTCCATCATGTTCAGCAATCACATGGCTGTATAGCAGGTAAAATACACAGTATTTCCAGATATGTTTTCGAACTGTGGTGTGTGTGCAGCTAGATACCTCACAGCAAAGCATGACTGGGACCGAAGGTCCCTTTAAGATCATCTGGCTCTCCTCAGGAGGAAATAACAATCTTGGCAGATGTCATGGGGCTACCTCCTTGCAGTCTTTTGCTTATAATTCATAGCATTGTTGACAAGTGCTAGGGATGTAGCAGAAGAAAAAGTCTTTCTAGTTGTCAAGTCTGGAGAGGTATAGCTAATTCAGAGGTCATGATCCGGTTTCTGTTGATGACATGGAGCTAAACAGTTTGTCTGCCTAGCCTGAGCCTGCTAACTGCAAATTGGTCATCTGCATACCTTTCACGAAGAAACTGCATGTTTTATGTGCCTTTATCACATCAGCAGAAAAGGATCTGGGGGAAGAAGAGGAAACTAGAAGGTCTATGAGTTTTAGGCGTGGATATAGACAGAACATGGAAGATATTCTGTTGTCATGTGAGCTGGAATCTGCTCTGACCCAGAGCTTCTTTTACCTTGCTAAGAAGCCTATGCTTGTGTGTTACTGTTCCCCTGCACTTATCAAAAGTCCTGTCATCTCTGTCTTTGTAGGATTTATCACCTCTCTTTTTTTTTTTTTTCCTTCCCAAAGAGAGTTTCAGAATTTCAAGCATTGCTCATTTGTTGCAGGTGGAGGGGTGGGGATGGTGCAAAGTATTATCGTTATGTTGTGTAAGTTTTGCAAGGTTTGAGGAAGAGTTTTTTGCTGTCCTTTACCTGGAATAATCCTGTCTTCCCAGGAAGAGTAAATACAGTATTTTGAACAGCATAACATTAGTATTTGTGTAACACTGCAAATATTGCAAGCCTTTTTTTTCAGTGTCTGCAATGCTGTGAATAAAAGATAAGCTAGCAGTAAAGCAGTGTTTCTGATTCTCTTTTCCCAGCACTGCTGCATCAGTCCTAAAGACTTTTTAGAAAAAGTGGAGTTGTTTCCAGTTGCAAGCCCCCAGCCACTCTCTTTTTCTCTGTCTAGCAGAAATGCTAAAGTTGATGAGTTTATTTGGCCTTTGGTTTGTCAACTGCGCTATAGTATGTGTACACTTGGAAAATCAATATTCTCTGGGTCTGGTCCAGTGAATGCCTGAAGCTAGAGTCTATCCTCCTCCAAGAACCATTGGTACGATATTATACTGTTACCCTTATTTTTTCTAGAAGACATACACCAAAATTAAAATGAGAAGCAGAATTAAAGCACTAATTGATGACCATTGTGAAGTAGTGGTGAATTTGCCACTCTTCACACACTCGGAGGAAGAGAGGTTCCTATCCAGATATTAAACTTTGCAGTGCATTTGGTATTTTTGGTCTGAATAGAAGCATACCTTTTCTATTCCTAAACATTTTGTCAGCCTCTGCTCCAAGGAATCCCCAGTATAGAGTCTGAAGAGGAGTTGGTTTGGGTTAAGACAGAGTTGTATTGGCAGCACTATTAAAGAACTTTAATGTTTGCTTATGTTATTTTTGGCTGTAGTCAGAGATTTGCTCATTTCAAAGTTCAGTCAGTAATAAGGAAAAGCCTGTACTGGCTGAACTGTGTAAAACTGTCTATGAACATGTTTGTAATCATTACATTCTAGCCTTAGGAATGTTTTCCTTTTTTTCTTGTCTCCTCAGTGAATTATTGGTATGACATGGAATATGACCTTAAGTACAGCTATTATCAACTACTAGATTGTCTCACAAAAACTGTGAAGGTGTTATAGCAGAGGTGGGAGAGTCGACCTTGTGATTTCTCTCTCTGATGTGATACAATCATCAGCATCTGTGACTGGAGTTAAAACATGATTCAAGTGAAAAGAACTGAACATTACATTATCCTCAACAACGTCAGTCAAACAGATCATGGCTATTTTGCTTGATTTCAGAGTCTAGATCAATTGGTCAGATTTTTTGGCTTGTAAGTAGAAGGCTTGATAAAAGCATTTTATCTTTGCATGTTGCCCCAGTGACGGTGAGCAAAATAAAATTTGAAGGGAGGCAATCCAGGTTTTGGAAATCCCAAAACAGAAGCCATTACTGTTTGTTCAGATCTACAGATTGTTTTCGTAACAACCCAAGGAGACAAGGAAGAATCTGCTTTGCCATCCACCTGTGCATCAGGCTGCATCGGTCCAACACATGCATTGTGCTTAAGGCAAAAGTCCTGTCCGGTTGTAATTCACTAAGTTCAGTGGCTGTGGTGTTTTGATGGTGAGAAATTACAACTTCTGCAATAAAAGGTCAGTTTAAAAGCTTATTTCTGTACTAATTTCTTTTTTTTTTCCAAATGATCTGATGCGAAAGTCAATGCTGGCTATTTTCCATGTTTTTATTGCTGTTTTTTATTTCTTTCCACTGTCATATTTAAATGTAGATGCATTCTCTTACATCCTGGCTGGTGATTTTAGAGTTGCTTTGCCAGACCTACAGTCAATCTGCCCATCACCTGTGGTCTCATGGCATGACATGTGATTCTGCAGCTTGTAGGCTGGCATTAATTGCTGCCTAACGCATGGTCAGGCAAGTTGTGTGAACCAGGAGCCTATTTCTGCAGCCCTAATTCCCATTTGTATTTCCACAGAATGGGATGAGATTACTCACATGTCTGAGACCTGCAGGGCGGGACTAGAAGGCTATTGAATACATGAACATTGTAAAAATGTAGTATTGTTGTTTATGAAAACCAAAAGTTGGTATTTACCATCAAATCTTCAAACAGTTCCTTAGAAACATTAGCGATATGGGGGGAAATTTATTTTCCATATATAAATTAGGAAAATGCAGATACCCTTTAGACAAGGTTGATTATTGTGAAGAAAAATACGATCGTTCTTTTCCTTTGTCTGTTTCTATTGATTTTTTAAAGAAACATAGTTAAAGCATAAAGCATCATTTTACCTTGTGGTGCTTGTCCAAAAATTTCTGAAAACTCAAGAGGGATTAAGGGCCAGCTTTGTTTCACAGCTGGATTAAGATGTCACGTTACTTCAGGCATTCCAGCTTGTTTGTGTGTGGCCCAAGCGAGTCCTGCATTCAAATCCGGACTTTCCCACTGTTGGGGGGGAAAGGCAATTTGAATATCTCTTTTTATCACTTTGGGGTTTTTAATCTAGTGTCTCTCCAGAATCAAAAGTAAGACTGCACGCCGGGAACAAATGTCAGCTTGTGTCTGTGCAAGAGGATGGTGTTGCTGTACCACCTCTGAGCTGGAGTGTCTGGAGGGCGGCGTGCTCTGAACTACGTCTCCCAGCAGCCCATGCTTGCCGACCGAAGGAAGCTGTCACGGTGGTTCCTCCTGGACTTTGGGCAGAGATTTTAAGCCTGAGAAGTGACCGGCTCCTGACTATCCTGTTTTCACGCAGCCCGTGTCTCGCCACAAAAAAGGGCGGCTCCTCTCCCCACCAGCAGAGCGGGGATGGCGGTGCAGGTGACGGTTCTGCCTTCCCCCAGGTGTCTGTTCGATGAGCCCGTGCAGATCCGTGTGGCCGGTCTCCTGCCGCAGCAGGCGGTCACCCTCCGAGCCAGCCTGATGGACGAGAGCGGGGAGCTTTTCCAAGCCCACGCTCGCTACAGAGCTGGGAGCAGCGGAGAGCTCGACCTCACCCGCTCCCCAGCGCTGGAGGGCAGCTATTCGGGAGTGGAACCGATGGGGCTGCTGTGGTCTCTGCAGTCCAAAGCGCCCTATAAGCGACTGGCAAAGAGGAACGTCCTGACCCCTTTCTGTGTGGACTTGGAAGTGTATGAGGGCCACGGGGACATGAGCCGCCTGCTGGGAAAATGCACCAATGAACGATGGTTTTTAGGAGAGGGGGTGAAGAGGATTTCAGTCAGAGAAGGTCGTCTGAAAGCAACCCTCTTTCTCCCTCCTGGTGAGTTTTAATTCCCTTCTGGTTTTCCAGGCGTGACTTGCACCACATGCTGTGCCCTGTGGCCCATGGATGCACTCAGCCACCGAGGGCAAAGCCTCAGCTAATGGTTCCTTCAGCCTGTGCTTGGTCCAGCTACTTGGATCCTCACAACAGAGCAGGGAGGAGCAGGTGTTGCCCAGGCAGGTCAAGTACCAAGGCCAGGGAGTGCAGGGAGGGCAGCAGTGGTAACACGAGGTGTCTCCTGTTTGTTCTACCCGAGGTGGGGTCAGGACCTCTCCTGCAGTGAGAGCTCTGGGGAAAAGTGTGTTTATTTCTTTGCTGTTCTCTTTAGTGACAGGACAAAGAGGCCCCGGACTTCGGCAGAGCTGTGAGGCGTGACAGCTCTGGCTGTGGAGTGAGGACTGACGAGGAGTGGTGGGAGCACTGGAGTCGGGCTACAGCCATGCTCCAGCCACTGCCACGGATCTTCCTGCAGGCTCTGGCCTTGTCTCTCTGTCTCTCTCTTTGGCTAAGGAAAAGCTAAAGAAAGGAGTCTCTACCTGTTTGAGCATCTTGGCTGCATGGGATACTTAGGAAGATGGGAGACAAATGAGAAAAGCAAGGTCTTTAAACAGGCATCAGATTCCACAGAGTACAGAGTCCACAGAACAGAGACAGTGCTGAGAGTGGATCTTGTGTAAAGCTGCTCTGAGCCCTGAACTGTTTTAAACATTAATATCTTGCCCTGTAATGAATAAAAAGACCCTTGCAGCTGCTGTGACACCAAATCTTATAAGGGAAGTCTGGCTATAAGAATGGGCTCAACAGCAGCAGGAAAGGAAGGTCCTATGGCTGCAGGAGGAGAACTGAGAAGCCCAGGGGTAGTTACCCAGATCATACTGAAACCTGAATTGGTGCAAGTCAGTACTGGCATTTGGGGGTGCATTTCATCACCCAAATATTCCCTCCCTGGAAAACCTGCTGGCACATTTCCTAAAGAAGTGCAGCTCATGCAGCAATGCTGTGTTTATCGATCCCCAATGGCCTGAGAACATCTAGGCCAATGTCAACTGAAATTCATGGTGGGAGAAGGATGCCCAACAAGTGAACTTCTTATTATGAGTTCCTAAGAGAGAAGTACCCAAATTAGTGTCCTTAGAGTGATTGGTTGTGTGTGTGAGAATGACAGCCTCCATGGAAAGCCTCAGAGGATGATTTCCTTCTGATATCTACTGTTCTGATGTATGCTGAGGGAGCACTACTGAAAGAAGAACTGTAGAAACTTTTCTCTTTGAGTATATATGTACACACCTTTCATTACAGGACCTGGTCCGTTCCCTGGACTTATTGATTTGTATGGATCTGGAGGAGGTCTTGTTGAATACAGAGCAAGTCTCCTGGCTAGCAGAGGCTTTGTGACTCTGGCTCTTGCTTACATGGCCTTTGAAGATCTTCCTGCTATGCCGGAGATTCTTGAACTGGGCTATTTTGAGGAAGCTGTGAATTTTTTGCGGAACCAGCAGCAGGTAAGAGGCAAATTATGGTGCTTTTCCTGTTGGAAACTATTTTCCAGTTTTCTAATTGGAATACTGTATGTCACTGAATGCAACTAAGTTTCTGAGATGTTAGAAGGAGACAGCATTGTCTTAAAGACAGCATGATCTTAGAGATGGCAAAACTTGTGCCTCAACTCAAATTTTGCAAGTAGATGGATAGCTGGTTTTGCACAGCATCTTACAACAGTCCATAGAGTGATGTTGTGCAAACCAGTGTCTGTGTAAGATTAAATCAAAGCAGTTCCCAGACTAGAAGCACAAAACTGCTTAAGCAAGAAATCTTAATTTTTTTCCCCCTACTTTTGCATCTTTCAAGATTTCAGAAGGGAAAAAAATCCATTGATTTTTTTTCTAGTATTTCTGAGATGTTACAGGCTTCTGATTTTAAGTAATTTTCATGAGACAGTAGTAAGACACTTTAACAACAGAATACTTTACAGTTGTAATGCTGGAGAGTGTGCCATGTCTTAAGAAGCTGGGACTGTCTTTGAACAAGTTTGTGGGATTAGAAAGACCCTTTCTAGCAATATATCATCGTGCTTAAACCAAAAGAGACCAAGAGAAATCAAGTAGCTTTTAAACTTTGAAAGGAATGCTACTTAATGTGGTATTTATTTCAGAAAGCTATGTTTATTTTCTAGCGTGTGGACAGGAGGAATGTAGCCAGTGTGAGAGCAGAATTCGACCTTGCTTGTTTGTCTTGTTCCTTATAGAGCTCTGAAACCTCCAGACTATCTTACAAGACACACATTACAAAATTAATTTTGTGTGAAGAGCCTTCACTATAAAGAAGTTGATTTAAACAATTATTGGGCTTACTCAGCCTCAGGTGTAATGAACCTTAGGTGTTCCAAGACAAAACAGAGGATAACAGGTCAGCTGTAGGGGAGTATCAAAAAACAATGGCATGAAAGAAAATCAATGCAAGTGTAAACCCATGAAAAAGTGGTTTTCCAAAGGGGACCTGGGGAGAGAAGATTGAGGGGATTTGGAGGCAGGAGCAGTAAAAGATACAGTACTGAGAGCAAGTGTGTAGCCAGGATGTGGAGGGAGCGAAGAGGTCACTAGGAAGAAAAAGTGTTACAGGAGGAGAAATGTTGAGGAGCTGTAGAATTCATAGTCACTCTTGTGGAGGCTCAGCAAAGGGGTAGATATGGGAGTGGTATAACCTGAACAGAGAGAAGGAAGGAGTAAAATATGGGTGGTCTTAGTTGGATGAGGAGTGAGGAAGCAGAACTGGAGACATTTTGTCAGCCGGGGAAATGAGGAGGAGGTGATAATGGTTGTTTTCATAACTGTGTTTCAGGTGAAAGATACTGGGATTGGCGTTTTGGGCTTGTCTAAGGGAGCTGATCTAGCCCTTTCCATGGCCACGTTTCTACCTGGCATCAAGGCAGCTGTTAGCATATCTGGAAGTGGGTTTAATTCTTTTGTTCCCCTGCGAGGTGATGGCTTCACTCTTCCTCCCCACCCATATGATTTGGGGAGGATGAAGACCAGCACCGAGTCTGGCCTAGTAGATTTTTCAGATGTCCTAGATGATCACAGGGACCCAGCAACTTGGGATTGTCGCATTCCCATGGAGAGGTCCTTGGCCAAGTTCCTCTTCCTGTCCGGACTGGATGACATGAACTGGAAAAGTGACCTGTATTGCCAGGATGCTGTTCAGCGCCTTCAGCAGCATGGACGGGAAGTAGAGTTTCGCTCCTATTCTGGAGCAGGGCACCTCTTGGAGCCACCGTACTTGCCTCTCTGCCAGGCTTCGATCCACAAAGTGCTTGGGGTCTTTGTGCATTGGGGAGGGCAATGGAGGGAGCATGCCAAAGCCCAAGAAGATGCATGGCGCAGGATACAGGCCTTTTTCTGGCGACACTTGATGGACTCAGACATCCCTAAGAGCAAACTGTAGTGGAAGCTGTCAAACATGCTGACCAGGGTTGGTATTTGAGCTCTCACTGAATCTTGGAAACTCATCAGAAGTTTCCTGGCCCACCTTCTGCTAAACCCCACTGTTGCATAGTTGTTTATTTTCATTCTCCAAATAATTTTCCATTTTTTAGTTGCATTTTAGGTGTCTTCTGGCTCCAGCTGCACTGTAGATTGGCACCATCTGATCTGCCTATGTGCTGTAGTCATCTGAGAAAAACTCAGCATCCCATCACACGGATTGTGTTTGTACTGAACTATCTTTTGCCCTCAATCTCCAACCATCTCCTTTGGTAGGAAAGAAGACTCTCATAGGAGGAGTTTTCCATTGAATTGTTTAGTTTTGCAACTTTAACTAACCTAGATGTAAACAGCAATTTCTGGGACAGCACATCAGTACGCTCACCTTTCCTCTTGGTATATCATTTTCTCACAGTTTTTAGTTAAAAGGTTGCAGCAGTTCTGATCTCAACTAAATCAAGAGACACTCTTCTGACCTATTCTGAAATGCAGCGTTAACATTTTTTTTTCTGGTACCTCAAAAAACAGAAGTGAATCTCAGGTTACACTGGTTATATCTTCTGCTGACTCCAGATAAGTTACGTATCAGAATAAAGTTTCCACTGCCCTACTCAATAAATACAACATATATATGTGTATGCACAGTTTACTTGAAATTGTCTGCATGAAGCCTTCGACTGTGTTTATGCCTATGAATAGCTAGGCAGCAATCTTGGTGTAGTCACAAGCTGCTGCTTTGCCTAGCTGAAGAGTTTATATACAGAAGTCCTTACCTCCTATGGGTAAAGAGGAGTGGTGGAATTTGCAGTAGGGGTCTGCACAGTGCTCAAGATGGGGGTAATACAGATATGCTAAGTACCTGCTTTTGAATGTTGGAAGTCAGTTTATCCCTGTTTTGGTGAGAAAGAATAAAGCCACTGCTGCTGCTAAATTCCCAGGAGCCGTGTGGAGTGGGCTGTCTCTGTGGTCTTGCGACAGCTGGGAAATGCCAGTCTTCAGAGAGGACTGACCTTGCCTTCTGGGCAGAATGTGCATTATCTCACCCTTTACTGAGGTCCAAACCTGCCAAGGACGACTGTGATCTGCCTTGTGCATTTGTGGGATAGTGGCATACAGCAGCTTGCTGGCATTTTCTAGATATCAAATGGCATAAACGGAGCAGTCAAGGCTCCCATTCTGACCACAGAAGCCAGCAGGACGTGGGGGTCTCTGCCTTCACTGAGGCAGCAAAATCTTGCCTTTGAGAGAGTAGTAGTCTCTGGTTTTCCTGCTGAGACATGAGCCTTGCAGGAGCCTGGATCCTCCTGAGGGCAGAACCATGCCCTCAGTTTTCTTCCTGCAGGGAGCAATGCCTACTCAAAATGGGCTTGTTGGGCTCAGAGGGCTGTAGACTCTCCCATGCCATACATCCAATGCAGAGCATGCCCCTTCAGTTGCTTCCAATTTTCCTGCCCCACCCTCTCCTCAAAATGGTAGATAGGTGCCGCTTAGCTCAAGGTGTGAGCAGTTGGCGTGGGGAGGTCTCACTCCTACTTACCTGTACTGGTCATCCATCAAGTTTTCTGCTATTCCCTCCTCTTCGTTTCTGTTTTTCCCCTGTGTGTCTGTGTCCTGCATGGCCTGTGGTGGTTCCAGATGTTTCATGAGTGGGTAGGACCTGGCAGAAGAGCAATGTGTAGCAGCAAGGGCGGTCAAACACATTTAAGCATTTCACTCTGAATAAGGGACATTTTCCCTCACTTTTCTATTTTACTGAAGCAGTCAAAAAAGGCTGGATTGGCCATCCGCATTTGCCTCAGGCTCGAGGCACAAGGCTGTGGTATGATAATTTTGTTCTTTTGTTTTTCCTGAACACAGTGAGGCTTATACAGTACACTGTGCTGTTCTCCAGCCTGTGGGATAACTCACATCTATTTTAATCCTTCTGAGGGGAAGACAAACTTTCTCAGCCTTCAGTGGGCAGTTTACAGATCTGTACATACATATCTGTGATTACAAAGTTGTGAGCTTCTGAGAAAATACATTTTCTTTATCTATAGAAAACTACCGTTAAAAGGAAAACTGCTTTCCATCAGTAAATCAACAATGTGTTCAGTGATGCTTTCATACAGTCTGTTGCCAGATTCAGGAATTGGGTTCAGGGAAAACAGTGTTGAAACTAGAGGATGAAGGGAGATGACCGGTGACTCTGTTGATGACAATAGCACATAGGACCTCTTTGTTTTGTTGCTCTGGAATGAAAGCTTTGCTACCCCTTTATTTATCACTTGGATAGCAGCTGCCAAGAAAGACTGAAAAAGTTGATTTAGCTGAGCAGCTCTGCGCCTTCTACAAAGAGGAAAATGTGCCAGCCAACCCAGTTGCACTGGAAGTTCTTTTTAAATCAGCTGACCTTTTTAAATTAAACTCAACTTTGAAACTTATCTTCAGGAAATAGAAACTGGAAACTGAGCGGAGACTAGTATCAAAGAATTGCAAATGGCCTAACTTCAATAAAATGCTTGTGCATGTTCGTGAGCATATTCTTCGGTGTTTTGCTGAAGACTGACTACTTAACATTTCTTCTGCTGAAGAAGTGATTTAGACACAGGGGGCTAAGATCACTTTTTCTTTCCAAGTTAGTGGCAAAAATTCTACTAATTGCAGCTTGTACAGTCAGGGTGCTTTATATAATTTCTCCAGAGTACAGACATTATTCAAGAACAATGTGAAAGTTATTATTTAATTAAAGTTAATTGACCTTTAGCTGCAAAAGAGAGCCTATGCCAAGCACAACTGATAAAACTAATAAAAATGGAATGGAGAAAGCTATTCTTATAATCTGCTTGTAATTGAAAAGTGCTTCGGATAAAATAGAGCATCAAAGGACTAGCTTGGGCTGAAAGTTCTCAGCTTGATGCTTACATCAGCTATCCCTTTGTTTAGTGCTTTCAACTGTGTATCTGTTATGAGAATGAGAATGAGAAAAGCTTGTGACAAGTCTCTTAAGAAACTGAGAAGCAATGTAAACTGCTATGAACAAATTTATTATAAAGGAACTGTGCATCTTGCAGTGCTCTCTTGGGGCAGGATAATTTCCCTAGCTAATTTGGAATCAGGCAACAATAGAGAGTGCTGATTTGCCAGTGCATTCTTAGAATTTTCCTTCTTTGTTCTGGTTCAACTTGTGATCTCTCTAGATATAAAGGAGACTACCCCTAAAAGAAGAAAACTGGTGTGAGAAAGCGTGTCCTTGAGTAGAACGTCTCTAAACTCTGCTGTAGCCTTACTGCCCAGACCCCATGAATCTAGGATAATCCAGGCGAATGTGATCTAAGTTATACGAAGCATATGTAGCTTATTATGTTAAACTAGGTATCCCTGAAGCAGGGCATAGGCTGTTTGCACACTGTGAGACCTTTGGGCACAGCTTATCCTTTTCATTGTGGGCTTTCTGTATCACAATGCAGATGGTTTTCCTTACATAGCTCCATCCTGCTGTCCTATCTGCTCAGTAACCCTTCATGAAAAGCTCCAGGGACTCCTAGCAGTTTGGAAACATATGGGCATTGCATGGAGCAATGTCCTCTGTACTTCTCAAGGCTTCTTGAAAAAGCATATGGGGCTCTTTCCCGATACTTTGCCATATGTGTTGTTAGGTTGTGTATAGCTGAGGAAGAAAGAAGTTGTCAATGTTCTTTACTGGAGATCTAAAAGTACCAGGTCCAATCAAGTATTTAGTTGAGCACAAGCTAAAGCTGATCCTGAAGCATTTTGATACACGCACAGTATAACTTGGAGGAAACTGCAGAATGAAAACAGTCAAAATTCCTTTATTAGAGGAGAGTGAACCACAGGTACAGAAGAGGTGAAACATCTTTGAGAAAGTAGCACTGTAGCACATCAAGCACTGTGCCTCTGCAGAAGTAGTCGGTATTTGAGGCTTCAGTGGAATTTTACTGGGGACTGTGCTGAACGAGGAGATTTCGGTGCAAATGTGCTCCTGTAACCCTAGTAGCTTCTTACCCAGAAGAAGCAGTGTCTCTGGATGGCTTCTGCAAACAAGGTTGTTTCACAACCGCAGGATAGAAGGAATGAAACGAAAGATGAGAATATACATTGTGTGATGTAATTTAGAAGTGGCCTTTCTCCATCCCCTGTTTCTGTTTCCTGTATATATTTGGAAGTATAAAGATGATTGGGGACTTTTTTATTTTTAAATTCAAAACTTACTCCAATACAGTCTCTAATACATTGCCAGATCATTTATTATCAAGCTGTGGGGTAAGACCAATGTTTAATGACAAAAATAGTAAAAATTTTTGCTATATTAGTATTTTGCTAAGAAATCTATAATTCTACCATTTCAGAAAAAAAAAATCACTATTCTGCACTTCTTAGAGCTCCATACATATCATTCAGAAATGGAATCTGAGCCAAATGTAGTATTAAGTGCAGAGAAAGTGATACTTTGTTTGAAGTTTGGCTAGAAGGAAAATTAATGTTTCCGATAAACTAACGCTCCTTGCAGCATTTACTGCAAAATATAGCTGCTATTTGTCATTGTCCAGGACAAAAAATAGAAATGCTGAAACTCGCTGTTTTTCAGAGTCTTAAAAATTTTCCATGAACAATTTACATTAAAAGTAAAAATGCCTAGGCCCTGACTCTAGATAGCACTTAGAGAAAAATAATGAAATTAATTACATTCTGTTAATTTAGACTTGTATCTTTTCAGTGACTTAAGCCACTGAACATTTAACATCTTGCATTAAGACTGTAAATTTGTGTCTGCGTTAAAGTCACTTCAGTGAAAGATATGGTTTTATGCTGCAGTTTAACTGTTCTAAGAACACCTTGCTGCCCAAAGGAACAGTCATGCCTTTTTCCTGCTTGCTGATCTAAATGAGAGGTAATCCTGTGGAAAAAAAAAAAACAAACCACAAAAGAATATTAAAATGTTCAGCTGGATCAGAGGAGGAA